AATTCAGCCATCTTTGCTTCATGTACTTAAATGACCCTTTCCCTCTTATGAACTCTGGTAATCGTCTTTCTTTTCATTCACGACGACATATATTCCAATTCTTTCTGGAGCGACTAGGGCTACGCTGATAAGCTAATTAGCTGATAATCGATTAATCAGCGAAAAAACATAATATCCCTTTTATATACTGCAGCTTTGCACCCTGAATGTCTTCTGGAAAATGATCAGATTTATTAGAAATTTACTTTCTTGTGCATCGTCAGAGTTTTTAGTCTGGAACTTTCTTTGACGACATTTTCTTTTCTTTTTGGGGCGGTTTGGTACGAGAATATATGGACAAAACATGCAAAAAAAAAAGGAATTTCACATAGGCTTTTATAAGTTTAATCTAAAAAAAAGTTTAATATTTGAGATTAGTTTGACTACAGGCTTAGATTAATTCTCATTCAAGATACTTATATCTTAAATATAATTAACTTGGGTGGTATTACTGGATTAGCAAGCTTGTCTCGCTAGATTAATTAAAACTGACTAGTGAGTACGATACTCACTGAGTGCTCCCTATTTTGGGCCTTGTACCACATCTAAGTTTCGTTTAGAAAATCTCCGTATGCCGGGTCGATCGGGCACATTGACGCCGTGTAAAGGTTAGCAAACTTGTCTTTTTAGATCTTTAGATGCCGACAAGATTTTTAGGATAGGTTCGTATGAACAGAATATATATTCTTCGTTTGTACATCAGGTTTAGTTTATTTTGTTTTATGGCATATCAATCTCAGTGGTTTATTTAATGACAAGATTTTTTGGATAGGTTCGTATGAATATGAATAGAATATGTATTCTTTGTATAAAATGTGCTTCTTCATCAGGTTTGGTTTATTTTGTTTTACAGCATATTAACGTCAATCGGTTATTTAATGCCGACAAGATTTTTTTTCCAAAAAAAGTATTGCTGGTAATAATTGTTTTTCCGAAATGTATTGCAGGTAATAATGTTTTTCTAAAAATATATTGCAGGTAATAAGATCCTATTTTTACACTTTAATAGTGTTTTGACCCCAGTTTGGGGGTTAACTATTTACCCATAGCTGTGATCCTGACAGGTGATACCACCCCAGGTTAGGGTTGACCTGGGAACACCAGCAATTAAGAGTTGATTCCACGCTCCTTCGCTAGATGTAAAATTTGTCCTCAGCTGATTTGGTATCAGCAATTTACTCCTTATGTTTTTTTATTTTACACACACAACAAGAATATATATATATATATATATATATATATATATATATATATATATATATATATATATATATATATATATATATATATATAAAAGAAAAAAGAAAAGCTTATCTATGTCAACGCGGTTCGATTTTCCATGTACTTTATCAAGGCAAATGTGAAGATTTTATTTTGCAACAAGTATTTATAAACAAAAGTGAAATGTAAGCTTTTCAATTTTTTCTTAATTTAAGAAACGCTCATAAATATTCATCAGGTTAAATGAAATGTCTTAGTAAATTACGGACGATGCTAAGTGACATAATTTAATGTCTAATTAAAGAAAGGGATTAAATAATGTTGTTGATTTATTTTCATGCAATGGGATGCTTTCTATGGGATGATTTCATGTATTATATATATATATATATATATATATATATATATATATATATATATATATAAAATAACAGGACGATTTAAATTTTTTATCTGTCTATATTTTTCAGATGAGGTATTATGTACACTATTTACATTAATCGGACTATTATCCTAATCTTTGTCGCCATATTTATTACAACATTTCGGCCGTTGTACGCTCCGGCATTTTTCAGGTGGTTGAAATGTCGAAATGCCTTTATTTCGCTCATCTTGTCGCCATTGTTTCTAGTTCCACGTTTATCTCCAATGGATGTCACTTATCAGTTATTTCCTGTTAATTTCCCTCTGAAAGTTCTCCACTACCTTAAACATGTATTGAACTCACAGTCTTTGGGTCCTGTCAATGGATCTAACTAACGTCTTTATCAACCATTTTTTACTAGTGCTCATATTGCAATTTTTGTTGTTATTATCGATAATAACAAGAAACGATAATAACAGCAATAATTGCAATATGTGCTCTGGTAAACATGCAATGATAACAGCAAAAAATTGCAATATGATCACTGGTAAAAAATGATTGCTGAAGACATTAGAGTTATGCTACCCAGAAATGGACACATAGCACAGTGGATAAAGGCGTTGGTTAAATCCAGTGATAGGACCCAAAGACTGTGAGTTCAATACCCGGTTAAGACAGTGGAGAACTTTCCGATAACAGACATCTATTAAAAATGGCACGTGGAACTAGAACAGTCTACTCCAGTGAGTGAAATAAAGGTTTCCGATCGATATTCCAACCACCTGAAGAAGTCCAATGCATTGTAATAAATATGGCGATGAAGACAATATTCCGAATAATTTAAATTCTTTCTTTTAATTTTTTATCATATCTTTTGTCTTGAGAGCATTGTCCTTTTACAGATATATTCTTGTTGCATCTGAATTTTTTACGTACACATATACACACCCAACAAAAAACACATATATATATATATATATATATATATATATATATATATAAAAAAGAGATGTTTTGTTACTTTATTCTGGAGAGACACTTATTAATTTCAAAGAAGTATATAACGTTAATCTCCATCAAAGTAGGATCGTCTGTCTTTAATGCTCTTGTTGACTTTGATTGATTTGTTTGTTTAACGGCATATCAACTCCTTATGGGTCATTTAATGCCGAATTTAATTTTCTTGGGAGCTTTGAAGTAATAAAAATAAAATATACGGATTGCTTGTCGAACGAGTATTATCGGGCAAGTACTATTACTGCGAGATTATTCGAAGGCGTCTGACACCAGTATTGTTGTATCTGCGATTACAAAGTCTCTGCTACAACGAGCATTACGAAAGTGGCAACGATTATTCGTTGGCATCACAAAAGTGGCAATGAGTGTTCGTTAACATCACAAAATAATGATTTTCGTTTTCAAAGTAGACATCTTTTCTTTTTTTTTTTTTTATTCAGACATTAAAATTTCTTCGGGCATTATTTTTGTGAAGGTTAGTTTTCGGTAATTTTACTGTTTTGACAATATTATATAAAAAAAAAAACAAAAATTTGTCACAATATCGACTGAAGAAAATATACTGACTTCAATATGAAAAAAGAAAATGTATGATTATATAATAATCAATACATTTTTTCTGGATTTATATTATTTTTTCAAAGAAAATTACAAACGTTAATCTCCTTAAAAAAGGATCGTCTGTTTCAACGCCCTTTGTTGTATTTATTAATTTGGTCTTTAAGTATTGAATGGAAGGAATTCAATGAAACACAAACAGGACACTTGTCAAAAGTAATTCATATATATATCTATATAATGGTTCTTCTCTGTTCATTTTTGTTCAGAAATATATGATCTTCATTAGAATGATATAGGAATGCGTTCCTGTTACATTATGCATGGTTTGAAATTAAATCTTTTCCTTTTCCTCGATTGGTTTTCCATCAATATTTAAACCACTGATGAGGGTTTAGCATAGATTTTTTTTGTGTCCTTTCCAGGAATATTAGAGTGAAAGCGAACGCAAAAGTTTAGGTCCGAATTTTAACTCGGCCTGCTTATCCCACATGCTTTTCCAGGTTTTATATTGTCCGACACATGTAGTATTTTAAAATATACCTGTTTAAAAAATATTTTTAGAAAAAAGTATTTCAAAATATAATTATAAATTAATAAATAAATATTAAATGACACATGTAGTAAATTTTAAATATTTTAATTCTCACCCATCCAAATATTGGGATTTTTACATTAGTATTTTTTTTATTTTACCCCTACCAGCTGAAAAAATTTTAATCTTCACGTCCCAATTTTAAAAATACCACTGAAATCTGAATATTATATTATATTACGTGTATTATTTTAAAATATTTAAATAATGGCTACTTATTTAATTTTTCCTGGCCGGAATAAAATACCCTTCCATTTTAAACGAAAAAAAGGTAGTATTTTGGAATATTCCCCTTACCCCTGAAATATTGGCCGAAACATGTAGTAAATAAAATATAATTTCCTTCTAATACTCTTATTGTTCACGGAATTCGTGAAAAAGATTTAAAATAAAACGACTTCTGACCATATCCTGTAAAAGATGTTTAACGATCTTCTTCTTCTTTGAGTTGTGTCCCAAAAGAAACTGAGCGATCATATAGTAACGACTTTTTTTTTTATATAGCTAATATATCAGGTTTGTCTCTTTGCTATCCCTGTTCTGTCAACCATACTAAAGAAACGCGTCCAGTAGCTTATTATCCGCTCTCTTTTCTATCTTTTTTTGAACTCTTGGACTATGTCCTGTGTTTGTCAAATTTTCCAAAAACTCTTTTCCTTTTATGTACCTGATAGATTTAAAATGGACTGTCTTTTGATTATCATTATAAATCCTTGTTGAAGATCCATTTTTTTCCTGCGTTCAATTGATTTGAATATTCCCTGTCTCTAATTTTCAACATCCTTCTTTTGAACCAAAATTCCATGCTCAACGGCTCTTCCCATCTGTTTAAACATTACCTCCAGTCTTTACTTAAATATAGGAATACTGATGTTACGTAACATCATTTTACTATTTTCCATATAATTTTTTTTGTTTTAATATATATTGCTTAGCTTTCGTTATGCATCTTCCGCCATCCAGTTGTTGAAATATTTTTTAATTTTTTAATTTTTCTCTGGTACGTCGTTCCCAATTTTTGATACTATATATTCCTTTTCAAATACCATTTTTTTTTCTGCACAGAAACATCCAAACAAAAAACCATTAAAATCGCAACAGCCGACTTAAACAAATGGATGGATAACTTCCCGAGATTTCATCTGAACTGCATCTGCAATTACTACCACAAAACCATTTTTGCTATGTGACTCGTCTAGTCACGCGATGCTGTGTCAGTCTATACCGCTGTCCAGTGGAGATTTTCCTTTAACGAAGACATTGAAGTCAATTTTTAAAGATTAAAAAATTGAATCCAATATTGCAAATTTGCACGCTCTAGAGCTGATGGGTTGGGCTAAACCAGCGTTGAATTTGGATGCGATTTGATACAATGTTCTCCGTCGTTGTTAGATTAAGATAATCCCAGTCGCCAACGCTTACGTTTTTTCATCTTCTATAGGTGCTTAAAGGTTCATGTGCCCTTAGTGTCGATTTTGGATTCATATATTCTGAGTATACAGCCAGTTTTGCTGTCCTATGCACGCTCCTCCACACAAAAATTGGCCGTCTGCCTAGAATCAACCAGAAACTTTTAAACGACTAAAGACATTTTTACCTCAATTTCATGAATTTAAAAGATACTATGTCGGCCATGAATATATCGAATAATAATTGAAATGGAGCCGTCATTTCAATAATGATAGCCATTTTTTTCGATGACTACGAGATCAAATAGAAATCAGTTTTCACTGTATTTGTGCGTTGCCTGATGGGTTGAACTGCAGCAGAAATAGATTTTTTTCTACATTTATTTACATTCTCTTTAATATAAACGTGTATAAACTATCATGGCCACAAGGTGAGGGATCATTTTATATATTGATTGTAATGTAGAAATTTAATCCCACTTTATATCCATAACCTCTTCATGATTATCAAATGTTGATTAGATAAAAATTTATAATTTTTAAAATCCCCTCCCAAATTGTTTATGTCATAAGACTCGTATCCTTAAAAATTTATTATCTCTAAAAAAAATCTTGCAATGTAAAAATATTTTATGGCTATAAATAACCTGTAAAGGTTGATAAATCTTGGGTTTGAATCAATGAATCAATCAGTGAAATACTTAAATTTAGCTTGGCATATATATAAATTTAGATTTATTTACATTCTCTTTAATATAAATGTATAGAAACTTTTGTTGCAAAATACGTGTAAATGAGGGGAATCAGTTTATATATTGATTGTAATGTAGAATTGAAAAGATGGATTATATCTACATTATAATATTCAAGAGATATTTGTTCTATGTTTTCAAAATTAATCCCAACAATTTCTAATAATTGGTTATTTGTTATATTATTAATTATTATTATTATTAAGTTTTTTGATTTCTGGCGTTTAAATTTCTTTTCGGGTCCCCTATATTAAATGTATATATATGGAAATATATATATATATGATTTTTTTTTCCACTGACAAAAAAAAAATATATTATATAGATAAAGCCCTTCGTAAAGTTGTGGGCTGTACTTGTCAGAACAATTTTTTGTATCTCCTTTTGGCATGGACTTCCAGGTATTATTTTCTTCAATTAAATCTACTGCAATCTTTTCCAACCAGTCATAGGGCTCCAACTACAATATATTATTGATGTTCCCATATGCCACATTTTCGAGATTATTATTATTATTATTATTATTATTATTATCCACCCACAAGATTCTTCAAATTTATTAAAATAAATATCTGGCTTTAAATAATTAATAAAAATATTTTTGATACCAAAACGAATCAATTTGCGACTGATTAGCTATACCTATGTTTTTAGATCCATTTACATTCTACACAGTCATATTTTTTAAACGTTTGCATTCGATGTATCAGCCACCGGCAGTTATTTTTCTTTTTTCCTTTTTTTTATAATTTTTTATTTATTAATAACTAAATAAAAAATATATTTATTTAATATATACCAGAATTGTATCAGATCAAATGCCATAATACTAGAGCATTTATGCTACCCTCTTTGTAACAAATTTCGCTTTCCGTGACATTAAAATAATTATTTTCCGAAGTCGTTATTTTATAATTTCTGATGATTATTTCTTGTTGTAGTAGGTCTCGTATAAACCAGATTATGATATGATGACATAAATCCGCTATCATTTTGCCAATCAGTTAAAAATCTTGAATTTGTCTTTATGAATTTCCTTATGTTAAATTGTGCGTTCAATCCACACCGGTTTTATAATCCATCCTGTTCTCACTTCGTCTGCCGAAAGAGACTATTCAGTACATGAGTTGGATTTTATTTTTTATTAATTATTTGCTCTGTAATAATAAATACATTGAGCTTTTTTTGTGGATCGGTTTTATATTTTTTCAGTTTCTAGAATCCACTTGGATTATATATCAATCGATTTAGTTATAATTGTATATATATATATATATATATATATATATATATATATATTATATTATTTCTAAACGTAATTTGCAATCCTGGAAAAAATTACTAGGATCGCAACTTAATCTAAAATTTGTATAAACAGATATAAGATAGAAAAAATATATAGATATATATATATATATATCAAGGTAACAGGAGATGTCAATTGACATTATATTTATATATTTTTAAAATTATAGCTATTATATATATATTCAATTAGTTCCACAGCTTTCTCTCTGAAAATGTTTTATTATTATTATTACATTATTTAAATTATTCATTTATATTTTTTTTTATTTTGATAATCCGCATTGAATTATTCAACGCGTCGGATATATATATTTTTTCCTATATTAACCATTTATTTTTATTTTTGTGTGATATATATATATATATATATATTCATGAATTATTCAAATTTAAATAAAAAACAAAGGTTAATAGACTTTTGGATAATAAGTGCGACATTACTGTAATTATTGAACAATATAGTTCATGCCACTTTGACAGAAAATTTACCAGTAAAAAAAATTGTTCATCACCATATTTGTATGAACGCACAACTTTAAAAAATTAAAATCAAACTCAGCGTTGCTACTGGCACGCTCCAAAAACAATAACTCATTTTCAATAGCATTTTCGGATACAACAATACATATATTTTCGTTGTCCTCTTATTACTAAGAGAAAAAACAAGAACAACATCTATTCTATACCTGAAGATGTCTGTAGGAACAGACGAAAGCTTGTAGTAAAAAATAAGAACTAATACGGCAGAAATTTATAGAAACAAGGATCAATTCATTCATAACGGATTCGGAGGTTTTTTATATTATTTGAATTGTTTGCGACGATGGATTTCTCGCCAATTAAATCATTAACCTTTGCATTTGTTTTTGTGTGAATAATTCATGAATTTGTAAATTGATTGCATATTTATCGTAATATATATATATATATATATATATATATATATATATATATATATATATATATATATAAATATATTTATTATTTGTACATTGCTCATATATATATATATATAGGTAGAGAATTTTACATTAAGAAATATTTATTTCGGATGGGAAAAATAAGATAACAGTTAACCTATACTAATATAATATAGGATTGTAGTTATCGATGAACATCATCTTGGGATTTTATATTAATCAATGGTTTGCCGGAAGAATCTGTTCAAATGGAGCTTAATTCTTACCCATGAAATACAGAGGAAATGTGGGTCCATTTTTACAATTTTAGTGGTATTTTAAGTTCTATTTATAAGCTTAGAATAATTTTATTTATTTTTGTTTATTTCTCTTTCAAAAATGTTCTGTATTTTGACTGCCCACTTCGGTCTAGTAATATCTATCTATTTTTACCTATCTATCCATCTATGTGTGTTCAGTCATCTATCTATCTATCTATCTATCTCAACCTGTTCATATCTATCTCAGTCTGTTCATATCTATTATCTATCTATCTATCTATCTATCTATCTATGTATCTATTAATCTTTTCAACTGTTCATTTCTATCTCCAATCTGTTCATTTTAATCTATCTATCTATCTTTCTCAGTCTGTTAATATTTATCTCAGTCTTTCATATCTATCCATCTGTCTTTGTCTATCTATCTATCTATTATCTATCTATCTTTGTCTGTTCATATTTAATATCTATCTATCTATCTATCTATCTTCTATCATCTATCTCAGTCTGTTCACATCTTATCTCAGTCTGTTCATATCTTCTATCTAAAATCTATCTATCATTTATCCATCTATATATCTATCTATCTATCTATTTATCTCAGTCTGTTTTATCTATCTAGTCTGTTCATATCTATCTATCTATCTATCTATCTATCTATCTATTCTATCTATTATCTATCTATCTCAGACTGTTCATTTCGATCTCAATCTGTTCATATTCTATCTATCTATCTATCTATCTTTCTATCTATCTATCTATCTATCTATCTATCAATTCATTCTGTTAATATCTATCTCAGTCTGTTCATATCTATCTCTCTTCTCTCTCTCTCTTTATCTATCTATCTCAGTCAGTTCAATCTATCTATCTATCTATCTATATATCTATCTATCTATCTCAGTCTGTTCATATCTATCTATCAATCTATCAATCGCAGTCTGTTCATATCTATCTATCTATCTATCTATCTATCTATCTATCTATCTATCTATCTATCTATCTATCTCTGTCTCTTTAAAATAACATATCTAGCTTAATTTACTCATGTCTATTCAAATCAAATTTTATAAAAGTTTTTCAAAAATTTGTGTTAGTTTACATCTACACACACACACACACACACACACACACACACACAAATTGACACATCTGACAATCATCTGCACTATAATTATTTCCAACACCAGATAATAACGTGTTTGAAAACGTCTAATTTCCATATTTTATTTTCAAATTCCAATTTTTTTTCCCATAATCAATATGAAAATTCATTTTGTTTAAAAAAATAATCAAAATATTCACGAATTACCTGAAATAGTTCGACGAAAAAAAAAAAAAAAAAAGAAAGAAAGAAAAGAAAAGATTCATTAGACCAAAGCTAATTTATTTTAATTTGGTTAATTAAACAGGGAAAAAAGGAAATTGGCTAGTCGTGATATAAGTAGATTGATTTAAAATTATATAAATATATGTGATTCATTAATTATGTTTTTATGCGTTATAATCTATTGATTTTTTTAAGAATTAAAAAAAATGATTTTGAAAAATCTTTAATCAAAACGAAATGAAAATGCAATTTCTTACTATTACTGAAATAGATTTCAAGAACAAACACGGAATATATTTAAGTTTGTTTGAACTTATATGGCTAATTGACCTTTTCAATGTGTGAAACATCGCAATTAAGATCATTTGCGTTAACGTTTTTCAATTTTTTTTTTGACATGAAGGGAAATATTATATATATATATATATTTATATATATATATATATATATATATATATATATATATATATTATATATTGCTTTAAAACTACTTCAGAAATTTATTCATTTATTTAATGTTATTTAGACAATTTTTTCTTTATTTTAAGTATATACATTCATCCATGCATTGAATATTGCTTTTTATTTGGTCTAAATGAAATTTATATGTATTTTTCCTTTTACCTTTTTTTACAAATTTTTTGTATTTATTTTTCTGTTCATTTAACTGTCTGTATCTTTTCATTTATTTTTTTCCCACTATCTATCTATCTATCTATTTTTTGTTTATCTATCTATCTATCTTCTCATACCTTTCTATTTACTAATTTACTATTATGAAAGTTCATATTGAATGTTTTTGCGCTATCTAATCTTTTGAATTATCTATCTAAATAAGTCTGTTTCTATCTATCTATCTATCTATCTATCTAGACAATCTTACACGTTTATATATTTAACTCAGCCTGTATCTATCTATCTATCTATCTATCTATCTATCTATCTATCTAGACAATCTTACACGTTTATATATTTAACTTCTATACTTTATTGTATTTTTGGGGGCTATCTTTCTATCTATCTATCTATCTATCTTTTCAGTTTAAAGGATTTTACACGTTTATATTTAACTCATGATAAATAATATCTATCTATCTATCTATCTATCTATCTATCTTATATTTTTATATTATTTAACTCAGATTGTTATCATTATCTATCTTCTTCTATCTATCTATTTTTATCAGTTTATATTTTAACTCTGCCTCTATTTATCTATCTATCTATTGTTCTGTTTATTTATCTTATTATCTGTTCCTGTTTTTTTTCACCTTTTATATCCCCATTATCTATCTATCTATCTATCTATCTATCTATCTATCTATCTATCTATCTATCTATCTAATGTCATCTAGTTCAGATATAATTTTTGACCTTTTAAACGAAGTCTTCTTTTATTTTTTTTTAGATAACCTGTTATTCTTCTCTTCATCGGCATGGCTAATGCTAACCTCCAAGAGAGTGACTCGTTACGCCTTCTCGGTTTAAAGTTTACCATTGGCAAATAAAAATAAATAATTTACTGAATTAATAGATATGAATCTCCTCATAAAAAATATTTGGTTCATTATTTTCTATCATTTAAAATATCATTTTTCTTCTTAACTTTTGCTATCTATCTATTCTTTTTTTACAAACGATAATTTAAAGGATTTGGTCAAGTTAAATTAATAACATTTTTTTTATTCTAATATTGTTATATATGTATTTTATTTAACTTTATTCACCAAATCCTTCCTGACTTTAATTTTAATCAAATCAATCTCGAGGGAAAAAAAGTTTTTTTCAAAAAAAATAAACATGGAATTCAAAAAAAATTCAACTGACCCTTTCCCTGATAATCCATAGTTTTGGGTGAAACTTTAGGTTTGTCTGGCTTACTAAATATAAATATATATATATATATATATATATTTATATATATATATATATATGAGAATTGTTTCGAATTCCGAGATGAAATCCAGTCTCCAATGAATGACAAATGAGGAATGAAATATAACAAATAAATGTATTTACACAAAAATACAATTGGTAATACGGTTAGTAAATCCAGAAACCAAATATCAATAATATATATATATATATATATATATATATATATATATATTTATTGCTTAAACTTTTCTCCTATCGAATGAACATTTTTTTAAAATTGAAAAAGAACTTTGGATTATTTTGCGATTTTTTCCAGTTTTTTTTTAAGGGTTCTATATTTTCACACACACACACACAAATAAACACAAACACATACATACACACACACACACACACACACACACACACACACACATATATATATATATTTATATATATATATATATATATATATATATATTTGTAGAGTTGATAAAATTCATCTCGAAGTTATAATCTTAGATAATTTGCTTGTAATTTGACTTCTACAAGCCTTTTCACCCTGAATTTTATCATTTTTTCCAACTCAATCACAATCACTGTATCATTTTGCCCCCCACTGTTAGCAATTTTATGAAACATTTCAACATCGGTTATTTATTGATTGTTTATTCTCCGAGCCCTTAATATGGCCGTTGGATTGAACCCGTATAAACACCAAAACATTCAAAAATTTCACTGAACGAACACCTTTAATTTTATCTATCCTCGTTCCTTCTAAAAAATTACCTTAGGATTTTCAACCGAACAATCGGTCAGAAGTTTAAACATTTCTATTCTGTTTTTTTTTTATTACATCCCAGTAATCGACACTGGTCGAGTCCAATACGCATGAATTAAAAAAGGACCCCATAATATATATATATATATATTCATATTTATATATAATAAAATAAAAGTGTTTGACATTCAAATAACAAAAATCAATCAACCAGGCAACTAACAAACATTTTATTTTACAAATAATAATAATAATTTCCATAGATTTCTTTTATATAACCAAAAAAAATTATTAAAACATTTCAGAAGAGAAAATAGTTAATAATTCAGTTCAAAAATGTATTGGATTTTTTAACCAGAAATATAAGAGGTGTAAATCGAATTTAATGTCACCTTTTTCACACTGATCTAAGAAGGAGTTGATCTGTTGCGAACCAAATATACAATTGGACTTAATCAAATATTTTTCTGCAAAATGACCTTTTAGTTTGATAAATCACATTTGAACATTTTAAAGTCAAATTTTCTCAAATTTTTGACTAGCAGGTATTTGTTGATAAACATGAAAAACAATAATTTTTCCTTTAATAATTTATAGAGAACCACCAACCCCGATCATGTACAGGAGGTTTTTTTCAGCTGATCTATAACATATGACAATCAAATGACATAACATATATAGATTTAAATCTATCTACCCATATGATCACCAAAAATATAGCAACGTCTAATTCTTTTCACTTTTTCTTGATGAGTGACCGTTAAAAACCAAAATTTGTTTGTTTTGAATGTGCGGATGGCGTGATGGATAATGGTTTTTTTGTTAATTTGAGAGCCGAACCAATTCCCTTCTGTTCTTATATTCATATAAATGCAAATTTGTGGGGAAAAAAATGAAACCACATCTTTTCATCCCCCAGGTTTCATTTAAGTAACAATTATTTTATCACTAAATGGTTTATCATGAAATGGTTTATCACTAAACCAATATTATCTATAAATTCTTACAGTTTCAAAATATTTTCTGGCTTTAAATAACTTGCAAAGGGTTGATAAACTGTAAAAAACAAATCAATCATTCAATCAAATAATGATTAGCTACAAAATCATGTCTTTTTTCCATTCTCCGGAATACAAATTTATAGAAACAACCGTGACCACAAAGTGAGGGTTCGGTTTATATATTAATTGTAATATGGAATTGATCCCCCACTTCATATACACGTTATAATTTCTTGTTATTTTTCATTTTTTGATTAGATATGAATCTCTTCTCCCACAGCTATTAATTAGTAAAACTTGTATAACTAAATCATTATTATCTAAACAAAAAATATGACAATATAAAAATATTTTCAGGTTTTAAATAACCTGCCAAGCCTTGAAAAACAGTAGAAAAGGAACTAGTCAATCGATTACACAACTCAAAGGTGGAAGGTTTTAGTGAAGATCGAAAATTTATCTTTTAAATTTTTGAACGTTCGAACAATTTTCCAAAAAAATCATTAATATACTCACCAATTCCGAGATTAAGTTGACGGAGCCGAGAAGTGATTAAACTTATGATTTTTACATATGAAAAATTTAGTTTCGTATACTTAATGTCTTCCTTTTACTATGATAATGTTAGATAACCTCCTCTATGTTATATATCTATATATATATATATCAGCAAAAAATCCTTTGTATCAAATTCTCAAAAACCTCTTTCCTAATTATCTGTTCAAAGAATTTCAACTATTTATTATCTGTATATACTTGGCACATACACAGTAAAAAGCAAGAGATAGGTTCTTAGCGTAAAAAATCGATAATTTTTTTTTAAAAATCAATAATCGATAAAGACGATCAAAAATCGGTAGATTCAGCTTTTTTCCTCCGATTTCGTTCAAACTCGGTATGTAGGTTACTTACATCACGACGAGCCCATCAGTTTTATTTCTAAGCCATTGCGCTTAGCCAAAAACGAAATATCGATTTCAATACAAATCAATTTCAACACAAATTTTAAAGGAAAAACTCCCTCAATTTTCAAGCAATCTAATACAAACTACACTCAGTTGTAGGCAATAATAAGTTGATTGTTTAACAGTCATTTAACTTGATAATTGAGTCCACCCATATAGTGAAAACCCGCGTAAATAGCGAAAATGGCGATTTTTACTGGTTTCTTTCTTATTTTTCGTTGATCTTTCAACCAATTTTCATCAAACTTAACAATTGCTTTATAAATGTATCCTCTTTTACATCCCTGGTAGCACACATTGACAAATTGAATTTCAAAAACTCCAAAATAATTGTGGTCTGAAGTGGGTCTTCATGTTGCCTGTTTTACCCCTTCATGTCCTCGGCTAACTTCGATTGAATAAATACAGACTACTTCTGTTATATCAGTAACTGCATTAATTCAAAATGTTTTTAATGAAAGTACTTTAAAGTAATTAAAGAAGATAGACTCTGTTACATCTAAACATGATACTGTTTTTGCTTCATTCTAACTGAACTCTTTTTCTGATCGACCAGCTGGCTATGGCTGCTAGTTTAGTAAATTTTATCAAAGTTATAGTTTATCAGTATACGTAAGAAATATGAAAAAGAAAAATTTTTTTTAAACTGACGTCAAAATTTGTCAATTATGAAATTGCCCAACTCTTTCTTTTTTCCCTTCTCACCCTGGTGTCAAATATTTTTTCATATATTGATACCGTTTTCCTTAAAGTAAAATTTGTTCATTTCGGAAGAAAATGCTTAAACTTTCTGACATGTTTCAGTGAAATTTTTACTTTAAAAATTCGGTTAATCATTAAACTTAAACAATATTGAACAAAAGTCAATTTAAAAATGAAGCCAAGAATATCATTGGTTAAATGTTACTGGTCTAGAGTTGGCGGAAGCATGGTCGCTTCCTTATACTGTTCCAGAAAGTATCTGAATCCGTCATGACCATTTCAGCTTTCTATAGTTCAAAATTCAAAAAAAAAAATGGATAAATTTTCAAAATACATGTTGGGCCGGAGCTGCCCAGTTCTTACTTTTAAGTCTAGACAGAGTTCCAAAGTAATTACGCGGTCTTGTAGGGATATTTTCCACCCGGGATGCCGTTTCACACAGACGAAATGTTGCTAGACTATCGCTAATACCGAGTGTAATAGCAAAACTTGTCCAAATCGTATCACAACATAGAATTACTGACCATCTCAGAAAATTTTAATATCTAAAAAAAAAAAAACACTAAATTAATTGAGTTTCCTTTTTCCAGGTTTACAGATAAGATGTATCTTGACACCATTTATCGTGAGAATCACAGAAAATATATGATTTGAATTATTTAGCTCGAAACTGAACAGGTTCAACTCATTTAATGTCAGCCTAACTCTATCTTCCTAACCGAGTAATGGTGAGAGGAAAAAGATCATTCAAGACTTCAGTAATTGTTAATAATTTACCATATATATATATATCTTCATATGTCCATTCAATAACCTTTGAAGATAAATTTTTTATGATATTTAAAAAAGAGGTAACAGTAAACCATTGAGAGAAAAAACTGGATCGGGAGGTCACAAGAGGAAGAGGGATCATCATTTTTTAAATTAGAGTTAAAAATTCTAATTTTAAAGTAGACTTTATTTATGAAAACTCCAACTTCAGGTAAGATATCTTTAATCATTTCTAAATACAAAAAAGAATGTTTTTATCTAAAAATTG